ATGGAATATAGTATTGAATTGGTTTATTGAACTAACCAGCATTCTGGCCCGGACACGTAGCTTAAAGTAGCGGTAAAACCCAATTCAATAGCCTTGATGCTGTTAAAAGAAGCGGCTTCTGAACTTGGCTGTACTTCCCAATCACATAAAAGGTCTACCAAAATTCTCGGGTGTAAAATGCACCGCAGGCTATGAAACATGGTTCACGCACCAATTTTGCCATGTTTAACGCACGCAACCTTAATTGAAATAGGTCTTTTGATTTGGGTGGAAGATGAAATCATTCTCGCATCTTCTAAGTGAACAAATCTTGAAGGAAATAAAGGCTCAGCTGTCGGCAAACACGTCAAACCTTATTAGCTGAATTTTGGCACAATTTTGTTGTGTATGTTGCCATAAGTTGTAAAATATAAACAAGTACTCCTGGAGTACTTCACCTGATGGACAGGCAATGAAGCGCTTTTCGAGTGAACTTAACCCCTTCATTATAAGATTTATCTCTCAGGAATCAAACCTTTCAAAAAATAAACTTTTCCTACAACTCATAGAGGATATGTTTATTCTGATAAAAACACCTGTTTCCCCCCACCTTTTTTTTCGTGATAACTATAATTGGCCGTTTTTACCAGCTAGCGACGTTAAAGTCAAATGAGACCCATTTAACATTATAACTTCATGCAGGACCAATTATAATGCTGATAATCAATTTAGTCCCCAGCACATTTAACTTAGAAACTGGGGGGACGAGGTTGGCCGATAATGGCTCCTGTTTCAATCTCAGACACCTTGACGCTTTTGAATAATTACATTTTAACTCCATCTCCATAACCTTTTTGCGAGAATTCGTCGATGGAAGGCCTTAGGTTATACATCTTAAGTAAAATCCAACTAGTGGTCTATTATCAATGCTACGTTCTGATTGGTTGAGCTACTACTAGGCTATATGTTATAGCCCTCTAGTAGCAAAAAGCGCGGGCTCTTTGGCGGAAAAAAAAAATTAACGTCTCGCTTTAACTAGCTAAAATTGTTTTATTCTCGATATTTTTGACCAACTAGTTGGATTTTACTCTCGCCCTCATGGCCTCTGAGTCAATAGCCCATTCGGCCTCATGGGCTATTGACTCAGAGCTCATTCGGGCTCGAGGAATAATTGTTAAATAGCGACTGGTCAAGGCAGCCTTTCGCTGCCTCACTTCATTTTACATTCTAATGAAGAGGGGATTTCGGGATTTCGTGTTGATAATCTGTTTTCTTTTGTTTTTCCTTGGACAGCTTTTTTTGTCGAAAACACGTGGAAATAATGTCTGATAATGTTGTCGTTAGGTGGCTATGTCACGAAGATATTGCGGTTAATTCTAAGTCAATTCTGTGCTCAAGTCATTACAAAGTGCCTTTAGCCAGACACTACTAAAATGCTTCTGTAGACTAAGAATTATGAAAGATCATAACAAACAAATTTCCTGTGCCTGATTAGCATGTAAATTTACTTTTTGGTTCGCTTTGTGTGTGTTTTTCTCTTCTCTTTTCTTTATTTTTCTTAAAGCTTTTCGTTGGCCTACTTCCTATACTTTTACGACTATAGGCATGTTTTTTCACGTAAATATTTTGTTCACGCGTGGACTTTGTTTGTTTATTGTTTCCTTAACTCCAACTCCTTTCCCCGTTGCCCGTTCCGCGTTTAGTAACATCCCTTCTGGCTTACATACTGACAAAGTACGATGGTTGGTCCTTTTTTGCCAAAATATTATGCTCATATGGCGACTTTTTGGTAACGCTTGCATGTGTTAGCCAAAATGCAAATGTTAATGTGTCTTTATTAAAACCATTTGATATACTCGCCCTCAGCACCTTATATACAAACATTGTTAATTTTTGATAAGGCGATATTTTTGGGATTCTGACTATTTTTTACCAAAATGAACTAATGACCGATGTGAGTATCAATAAAAAATTGGCTCTTACCCGTTATAAACACCTATTATTTCTCCCGATGCCTTTTCCTCTCCGTTGCGTTATGAATAACTGATGTAGAATACAGCAATATACCGACTGATTTTCGACCTTTACCAGCCTTACTTTTAAGTAGTAATGCTTTATACTGCTGCTAGGCTGTGTTCATGTTCGCTTTTATTTTTCACTGCCCCTTATTTTCACCTTGTTGGCCGCTCCTTACTGACCGCTAGCATTTCGCATTGTCTCACCGCCGCTTTGAATTTTCGTGTTTTTCTTCCTACAAAATTCGTCTCTTTTGTTTTCAATCACTCGCTCTAGTTCCTTCTCTGTTATCCACGTGAGTGTTAACATAAAAAATAACGTCGAAAAAGACACGACTTTGTTATTGTTTTTTCTTTCTTAAAGTCCAGGCGGCCATGCGATTTCTTTCCAAATAAAACCTTGAGTTGCACTTCGGTTGCCATACCTGTTGATTGAATTATTTACATTGGTATACCTGTGGTGCGGACGGACTCTCGGGCGGTCGGTCGGTGTATGGTCACGTGATTACCAAATTTTCTCGGATGGGTGGTTTACCACATTTTCTTACCCATGGTGCTTCGCTGAGCGCGCTTCGCGCGCGAGAGCTCCGCTACAAAACCCGTTTTTAAGGCCTTTAATAGCATTGTTGCACTCTTTTCGTCATACAGCGTGATCAAATGGGAGTTTTTAGGGGCGGGTAATCTTAGCAGCAAGACGCTTAAGTGTCATATTTCGTTAATTATTTACTGTTAAACAAGCCTTTTAGGGTTAGCGTTAGCGTTAGGGTTAGGGTTAGAGCACTTTAGAACAATGTTTACCTGCCAGTCTGCAAGTCTGCAGTCTGCGTTTGTCGCACACCGCCTCTGAGAACGTGCGGGCATACGATGCTGCTAATGAGGGCGCTAGAAAAGCAATTGCAAATTATTACCGCAGGGGCGGATCTAGAGGGAGGGTGCAGGGGTTGCGCACCCCCCCCCCCCCCCCCCGTTGGCGCGGGTTTTTCTAATAACCCGGTTTCTTCCAAAAAAAAAAAAGNTTTCTTTCCAAATAAAACCTTGAGTTGCACTTCGGTTGCCATACCTGTTGATTGAATTATTTACATTGGTATACCTGTGGTGCGGACGGACTCTCGGGCGGTCGGTCGGTGTATGGTCACGTGATTACCAAATTTTCTCGGATGGGTGGTTTACCACATTTTCTTACCCATGGTGCTTCGCTGAGCGCGCTTCGCGCGCGAGAGCTCCGCTACAAAACCCGTTTTTAAGGCCTTTAATAGCATTGTTGCACTCTTTTCGTCATACAGCGTGATCAAATGGGAGTTTTTAGGGGCGGGTAATCTTAGCAGCAAGACGCTTAAGTGTCATATTTCGTTAATTATTTACTGTTAAACAAGCCTTTTAGGGTTAGCGTTAGCGTTAGGGTTAGGGTTAGAGCACTTTAGAACAATGTTTACCTGCCAGTCTGCAAGTCTGCAGTCTGCGTTTGTCGCACACCGCCTCTGAGAACGTGCGGGCATACGATGCTGCTAATGAGGGCGCTAGAAAAGCAATTGCAAATTATTACCGCAGGGGCGGATCTAGAGGGAGGGTGCAGGGGTTCCCCCCCCCCCCCCCCCCTGAGATGACCTGCGATTTTCTAATACAACTGGTTTTCTGCAAAAAAAAAAATCTATGTGGTTTATTGGTGTTGAAGTAGAGCAAGAGACGAGTGCACTCCCTCCTAAAAAAAATCCTGGATCCGCCCCTGTACCGGTCTTTCTTGATCTTCTTACAATCTACGTCCCAATTTTATACTTGCCAACTTTTTGTGAGTCAAATGCGTGAGATTTTCACCTTTTCATGACCGGGATTTCCGGAAACGACCCGGCTTATTCCGAATATTTCCGACGAATTTCCGAAGACTTCCGAACGTTACCGAAATTTAAATGTACGCAGATATTCCGGAAGACCTTGGAGCACTTCCGAAGCTACTTAAAAAACGACAATTTTAGGGTGCTTTGATTTCGTTAGACCAAAAAAAAGAACACAAAGTCATCATGTGTTTAAAAATAATTTGTCCGGATTTGTGATGAGTCAGGCGTGAGAAATTGTCCTCGACGCTTGAGATTGATGTGTTTAGTCCACACTGACAACTAACAAAAAGCCTAAAATGTAGCTGACAACTGACAAATGACACAATTTTAACTGACTGCTGACATTTGTACTCCCCCCCTCCCATCCAGACCCTCTTTTAGTAACTTATGTAATAAGCCAAGGCTAGGTATTGACACGGTTATTTTAATTCCTAATTTTTTGAACAGTAATTATCACGATCCTGTTTCTAACGAAAAAACCAAAGAGCTCTTGACTTTTTTTTTTGTTCTTTTTAAGAAAAAAAAAGTTGCAATCAGACTCGAGGTAGTTCAGGTTTTCAAGCTGACGCCGAACTTTAATGAGCCCGCTGAAACAACTCACTGACGATTTTACTTAGTATTTAGCCCTGTAGCCAAAAGGAAGTCTTAACAGTGGGCGCCCAATGCAAGTAACATGTCAAACTGTGTGGGCTTAACTGTTATGTTCTTATAAGATCTAAAATGAAGACTTCACCGACTGACAACTATACTCGTTTCTTATAGCTATATAACGGACATGTTATTTCTGATACAAATACAGTCGAAGTTCTCCTTGCGACCACTCTCGTTTTACAAGCGACCAGCTCTAGTTTCACTTGACGAGTATTACCATGAATTAACAGCTACAATCATGGACGAAAGTCTTGGGACACTTTTGCGTTTCTGGGGCGTTTTCCAATTCATACAGGTCAAACCCCTCCCCTCACCCCACAAACAATGTTGGACGCGTTTATCCAGAATTTTGTCCGAGTTTTAACTTTGTATAGGGTGGGGGGCAGGGAGAACTACAAAAAAAATTCGAAAATGATGCACTGTTTTAAAAGGGAACCGAGAAATGACAGAAAAATATGAATATTGCAGCACTGTCCCAAGGACTATTGTGAAGGATTGTAGAACGCATAGAAGACCAACTCGATCAACAGTAGAGTTGCCTTAGTGTTTCTTTCACAGTTTGCCGCACTTGCCTCATCTTCCAACAGTACAGAAAGGGGTTTAAAGATGAGTTTAAGTAAGCGATGGTAGCCGCATAATTTCGAGCAAGGTAGGTCGATAAAGGCATCCCTCTCCGAGGTGTCAAAGCGACCGCTATACCGAACGGCACATAACAAACAACCAATGTTATCTGTACCCACAGTGCACTGTTCACTGCCTTTCTGTATCGAGCTATGTTAAGTGGAATTGCTTGGCTTGGTTGTCCTGGAAAAACATGGCTCCGAACATGGTCAACATGAATTTGGTTGTGACGTAGAGTGAGGAAAATTTTTGTGTAAGCGAAGATTGTGGTGACTAGACACAGAGCTGTACCTATGTATTGATACCATGAAGTTATAAGAGGATTCCAAAAAGAAGTGCAGGCACTAACGATGGACAAAATCCATAAAGCAATCACAGTTATAAACGTTCTTCTCAAAGTTACAACTTGTCTGTATCTGAGCCCCAGTAACAAGGCGAGAAGTCTGTCCACGCTTATTGCAGTCAATGTTAATAAAGAAACTGAACACAACTTTTTATAACCTGAGAAAGTTTGTGCCTCATTTGCGTGATAGCAAATATCCCATCTTTCTTTAAGAACAGAAGTCCAATAAGTCACAGTCAAAGGCCCAGCAATGATACCAACACAGAGATCAGTTATTGCGAGGTTACGATATAGGAGTTTGGACGGCGGATGAAGTGAAGTTTCCTTGTGTAGGGCAACTAGGATCAGAGTGTTCCCCAAAAATGCTGCAATGGACAGAAAAATATTTAGAGCTGAAAGAAAGATAAGTTCGCCATCTACACCTCTGATTAATTCCACCGAGCAGTACAGTTCACCGACTGTTTTCTGTTTTCATATTCGGTAAAATTTGTCAGTGCCATATTCCTCTGCGAAGCTGAGCCGAGCAGGTGAGGACTTTATTTATACACCTGTTTCAATTAAGGCTGCTTCGGTGAAGAATGATGCATGATGTATGACCCATATCAGTCATTTATAGTCCGCAATGAATTATGCACCCGCGACGAGCTACTGACGCCACTATACTATGTCAGAAGAACGTTTAGAAAAAGTATTTCAAAACACTGAAACCGAGGCCTTTTGCAGTTGCCGCTTTTTAAGACAGTGATTTGAGTCCAAGTTTTGCTCTGTGGTATTATGCAAATGTTGTAAATTTTCAACGAGTTCTGTTCGCACGTAGTAATTTTAAATGGAGTTTTATAAAACAAATTCAAGGTGTTTGTTACCTGCGTAATAAATAACAAATGGAATATAGTATTGATTTGGTTTATTGAACTAACCAGCATTCTGGTCCCGACACGTAGTTTAAAGTAGCGGTAAAACCTAATTCAATAGCCTTGATGTTGTTAAAAGAAGCGGCTTCTGAACTTGGCTGTACTTCCCGCTTACATAAAAGGTCTACCAAAATTCTCGGGTGTAAAATGCACCGCAGGCTATGAAACATGGTTCACGCACCAATTTTGCCATGTTTAACGCACGCAACCTTAATTGAAATAGGTCTTTTGATTTGGGTGGAAGATGAAATCATTCTCGCATCTTCTAAGTGAACAAATCTTGAAGGAAATAAAGTCTCAGCTGTCGGCAAACACGTCAAACCTTATTAGCTGAATTTTGGCACAATTTTGTTGTGTATGTTGCCATAAGTTGTAAAATATAAACAAGTACTCCTGGAGTACTTTATCTGATGGACAGGCAATGAAGCTCTTTTCGAGTGAACTTAACCCCATCATTATAGCATTTATCTCTCAGGAATCAACTCTTCAAAAAATAGACTTTTTCTACAATGCAACTCATAGACAATATGTTTATTCCGATAAAAACACCTGTTTTCCCCCTTTTTTTCCGTGACAACTATCATTGGCCGTTTTTACCAGCTAGCGACGTTAAAGTCAAAAAAGACCCATTTAACATTATAACTTCATGCAGGACCAATTATAATGCTGATAATCAATTAAGTCCCCAGCACATTTAACTCAGAAACTGGGGGGACGAGGTTGGCCGATAATGGCTCCTGTTTCAATCTCAGACACCTTGACGCTTTTGAATAGTTACATTTTAACTCCATCTCCATAACCTTTTTGCGAGAATTCGTCGATGGAAGGCCGTAGGTTATACATCTTTAGTAAAATCCAACTAGTGGTCTATTATCAATGCTGCGTTCTGATTGGTTGAGCTACTACTAGGCTATGTGTTATAGCCCTCNAAACATGGTTCACGCACCAATTTTGCCATGTTTAACGCACGCAACCTTAATTGAAATAGGTCTTTTGATTTGGGTGGAAGATGAAATCATTCTCGCATCTTCTAAGTGAACAAATCTTGAAGGAAATAAAGTCTCAGCTGTCGGCAAACACGTCAAACCTTATTAGCTGAATTTTGGCACAATTTTGTTGTGTATGTTGCCATAAGTTGTAAAATATAAACAAGTACTCCTGGAGTACTTTATCTGATGGACAGGCAATGAAGCTCTTTTCGAGTGAACTTAACCCCATCATTATAGCATTTATCTCTCAGGAATCAACTCTTCAAAAAATAGACTTTTTCTACAATGCAACTCATAGACAATATGTTTATTCCGATAAAAACACCTGTTTTCCCCCTTTTTTTCCGTGACAACTATCATTGGCCGTTTTTACCAGCTAGCGACGTTAAAGTCAAAAAAGACCCATTTAACATTATAACTTCATGCAGGACCAATTATAATGCTGATAATCAATTAAGTCCCCAGCACATTTAACTCAGAAACTGGGGGGACGAGGTTGGCCGATAATGGCTCCTGTTTCAATCTCAGACACCTTGACGCTTTTGAATAGTTACATTTTAACTCCATCTCCATAACCTTTTTGCGAGAATTCGTCGATGGAAGGCCGTAGGTTATACATCTTTAGTAAAATCCAACTAGTGGTCTATTATCAATGCTGCGTTCTGATTGGTTGAGCTACTACTAGGCTATGTGTTATAGCCCTCTAGTAGCGAAAAGCGAGGGCTCTTTGGCGGCAAAAAAATTAACGTCTCGCTTTAACTAGCTAAAATTGTTTTATTCTCGATATTTTTGATCAACTAGTTGGATTTTACTCTCGCCCTAATGGCCTCATGGGGCATTGACTCAGAGCTCATTCGGGCTCGAGGAATAATTGTTAAATAGCGACTGGTCAAGGCAGCCTTTCGCTGCCTCACTTCATTTTACATTGTAATGAGGAGGGGATTTCGGGATTTCGTGTTGATAATCTGTTTTCTTTTGTTTTTTCTTGGACAGCTTTTTTTGTCGAAAACACGTGGAAATAATGTCTGATAATGTTGTCGTTAGGTGGCTATGTCACGAAGATATTGCGGTTAATTCTAAGTCAATTCTGTGCTCAAGTCATACAAAGTGCCTTTAGCTAGACACTACTAAAATGCTTCTGTAGACTAAGAATTATGAAAGATCATAACAAGCAAATTTCCTGTGCCTGATTAGCATATAAATTTACTTTTTGGTTCGCTTTGTGTGTGTTTTTCTTTTTTCTTTTCTTTATTTTTCTTAAAGTTTTTCGTTGGCTTACTTCCTATACTTTTACGACTATAGGCATGTTTTTTCACGTAAATATTTTGGTCACGCGTGGACTTTGTTTGTTTATTGTTTCCTTAACTTCAACTCCTTTCCCCGTTGCCCGTTCCGCGTTTAGTAACATCCCTTCTGGCTTACATACTGACAAAGTACGATGGTTGAATCTATTATGCTCATATGGCGACTTTTTGGTAACGCTTGCATGTGTTAGGCAAAATGGAAATGCTAATGTGTCTTTATTAAAACCATTTGATATACTCGCCCGCAGCACCTTATATACAAACATTGTTAATTTTTGATAAGGCGATATTTTTGCGATTCTGATTATTTTTTACCAAAATGAACTAATGACCGATGTGAGTATCAATAAAAAATTGGCTCTTACCCGTTATAGCACCTATTATTTCTCCCGATGCCTTTTCCTCTCCGTTGCTTATGAATAACTGATGTAGAATACAGCAATATACCGACTTATTTTAGACCTTTACCAGCCTTACTTCAGTAAGTAGTAATGCTTTATACTGCTGCTAGGCTGTGTTCGTGTTCACTTTTATTTTCCGCTGCCCGTCATTTTCACCTTGTTGGCCGCTCCTTGCTGGCCGCTAGCATTTCTCATTGTCTCACCGCCGCTTTGAATTTTCGTGTTTTTCTTCCTACAAAATTCATCTCTTTTGTTTTCAATCACTCGCTCGAGTTCCTTCTCTGTTATCCACGTGAGAGTAAACATCAAAAATAACGTCGAAAAAGACACGACTCCCCTCACCCCACAAACAATGTTGGACGCGTGTATCCAGAATTTTGTCCGAGTTTTAACTTTGTATAGGGTGGGGGAAGGGAGAACTACAGAAAAAATTCGAAAATGATGCACTGTTTTAAGAGGGAACCGAGAAATGACAGAAAAATATGAATATTGCAGCACTGTCCCAAGGACTATTGTGAAGGATTGTAGAATGCATAGAAGACCAACTCGATCAACAGTAGAGTTGCCTTAGTGTTTCTTTCACAGCTTGCCTCACTTGCCTCATCTTCCAACAGTACAGAAAGGGGTTTAAAGATGAGTTTAAGTAAACGATGGTAGCCGCAAAATTTCGAGCAAGGTAGTTCGATAAAGGCATCCCTCTCTGAGGTGTCAAAGCGACCGCTATACCAAACGGCAGATAACAAACAACCAATGTTACCTGTATCCACAGTGCACTGTTTACTGCCTTTCTGTGTCGAGCTATGTTAAGTGGAATTGCTTGGCTTGGTTGTCCTGGAAAAACATGGCTCTGAACATGGTCAACATGAATTTGGTTGTGACGTAGAGTGAGGAAAATGTTTGTGTAAGCGAAGATTGTGGTGACTAGACAGATAGCTGTACCTATGTATTGGCACCATGAAGTTATAAGAGAATTCCAAAAAATAGTGCAGGCACTAACGATGGACAAAATCCATAAAGCAATCACAGTTATAAACGTTCTTCTCAAAGTTACAACTTGTCTGTATCTGAGCCCCAGTAACAAGGCGAGAAGTCTGTCCACACTTATTGCAGTCAATGTTAATAAAGATACTGGACCCAAAATAAAACCTGAGTAAGTTGCTGCCCAATTTGCGTGATAGCAAATATCCCATCTTTCGTTCACAACAGAAGTAAAGTAAGTCACATACAAAGGCTCAGCAATGATTCCAGCACAGAGATCAGTTATCGCTAGGTTACGATACAGGAGTTTGGACGGCGGATGAAGTGAAATTTCCTTGTGTAGGGCAACTAGGATCAGAGTGTTCCCCAAAAATGCTGCAATGGACAGAAAAATATTTAGAGATGAGAGAAAGATAAGTTCGCCATCTACACCTCTGATTAATTCCACCGAGCAGTACAGTTCACCAAGTGTTTTCTTGTTTTCATATTCGGTAAAATTTGTCAGTGCCATATTCCTCTGCGAAGCTGAGCAGAGAAAGTAAGGACTTTATTTATACACCTGTTTCAATTAAGGCTGCTTCGGTGAAGAATGATGGATGATGCATGATCCATGTTTCATAATCCGCAATGCATTATGGACCCGCTACGAGCCACTGACGCCATTGTGCTATGTCAGCAAAACGTTTAGAAAAAGTATTTCAAAACACTGAAACCGAGGCCTTTTGCATTTGCCGCTTTTTAAGATAGTAATTTGAGTCCAGGTTTTGCTCTGTGGTATTATGAAAATGTTGGAAATTTTCAACGAGTTCTGCTCGCACACGA